AGTTGTCTCCCTTATTAAATTTCTCCTAAGAATGTGTGTCATAGATGAATTGATGATTACTAATTGTGATCATTCCTTTTGTCTGTTATTGTTCCTGTAGCTATATATATTAATTGTTTAATAATAGCTTGGGACAAATATTATTTTCATTTTGGGTTCTTCTCTGGCCACCAAGCTACCTGGATTATGTTCTATGCTACTCTCATTTGGTGACATGTAAAAGCCTTAACGTACTTATAAAATAGATAGATTTAGAGAGGAAATATTTTGTTTTTAAATTGTTTCATAAAATTTATCTTTAAATATGTAGATCATTGTTAAAGAAGAAGTTTGAGAGAGAATATTTTTTCTTAATATTATTCACAAAATTTGTTATAAATATGCAGATCATTCGCAAAGAAGGAATTTGAGATAGAAAAATTCATCTCTATTTTTTTTTTTTGTTGCAAAATCCATATCTAAATATACATTTCACTTATAGAAAAGAAATTTGAAACAAAAAAATTGTCTCTAAATATTTTCTTTGCAAAATCTATGTCTAAATATACATGTCATTTTTAAAGAAGGAATTTGAGATGAAAAAAAATCTATTAAATAGATTTTATTTGGAAAATCTATCTCTAAATATGTATATTTTATATAGAGAAGAATTTTGAAATAAAAAAAAATCACTTTCTAATTATTCTCTCACAAAATCTAACTCTTAATATGAAAATCATTTTTAGAAAAATATTTTGAAATAAAAAAATTTCTTTCTAATTTTTTTTATTGCATGAGTTACATTTAATTTTATAACAAAACTTAGATACTATATTATCAATATCATAGAGATGTTATTTTCATTTAAAATTGACCCAATATTATATTTAATCTTGATAATTGCTACTAACTCTCAATGCTGCTATCAATTTTATATCGATGACTAAAATTAACGTCTATATAATTGATTTATATTTTAGGTATTATATATGCTTTGAATAAAGAATAATATAACTAATAATTATGACATTGCTAATCTTGAATAAGTTTAAATAGATAATTATTTATTAAAAAATAATATAAAAATAATTTTTTTATTAAGTTAAAAAATATATATTATTCAAATTTTTAAAAATAAATAAAAAATTTCTAGAAAATAAAAAAATGCGTTAATTTTAATTTATAAAAACATTTTGATTTACTTTATTAGTTATTATTTTATTCTACAAGTATTTATTGAAAAATTTATTTAAACTGAACTGTTTTTTATGTTATTTTTATTTTTATTTTTTTAATTTATAAGTACTTGTTCTATTTATTTTTTAATCTACAATTCATCTTACTTTTTTAAAAAAACTAATTTTGAGTTACCAAACTAGCCAAACATCAATTTTGCAAAAATTGATATGATAAAAGAAAACAATTTGAAAAATAAAATAGAAAAAGCTGTTTGCATGGTTGCATCTGTCTGGGTAGGAGACGATTGAGTGAATAAAGAGAGAATTGAATTCCAAATTAAATATGCAGGTCACTGGAAGATCAGATGACCTTTCCTCAAACAAAAAGAAAGATGAAAAGGAAAAGTTGTAGAAGGAAAAACCCCAACGTAAGTACTAACCATCATCGATAGTTCTCCCATAGGTTAGGTAGATGATAAATCCCTAATCATCATCGCATCAACTTTAGACTTAATTCTAACTTTTTCTTCTGCATAGCTTGTCACCCCTTTTCACAGATAACTTTCTGGTTTTTGTGAAATCCTGAATTTTCGTTTTTTTAATGAATCAATTTGAAAATCACATTCTACGGCATTTTATGCTACCCATGATGTCCTCAAGAAATTCGTGCAACTCATCTTTTCTTTTATCTACACAATATTCTCTCCCCAAATTTAACAACCATATAGAACTTGTTTTGAAGAGGCCATAAATATTCATAGGTTATGCAACAGTTGCTTAAAAAAAGGGAATTTTGCTTCTCCAATCACCCAAATCCGCTTTCACTTGCTTAAGTCTAGATATTTTGTTTTTCACTTGTAAAAACATTCCTATTCCATAAAATAGAATTTGATAACAACTTGTGTAGCTTTGGGAATTAATTTAATATCATGGAAAGATTGTTGGCATAACCTTGGAATTGAATTTTGAACTTGGGCCATAAATGTTGAGTGAGTTGCCAAAAGTTAGAATCATATCTCACGAGAATACAGATTTGAAACTCGTTGTCAATGTAAGATTTTGTTGATGTGCAATTTATAAAAAATTTTAACATTTAGTAGAGCTGTTAACCGCAGTTTAATTAATACTAACATCCGCCAGTTAATCTCAACTAATAAGCATACATCAAATGATTAATACATGATTTTGGTTGGTTGATAATATTTTGTTCAAATTAAATTCCTCAATTAATTTTAATTTATGTTATCAAATCATCTAGTTTTTCTTAAAAATTTCAAATCCTTATTTCCTGTTTAAAATCTCTGCAAACTGAATTAACTAACCTATTTTAAACTACTAATTAAACCATATTTTTCACTTATTTTTTTTAAATCTCGTTTTCTCCTTAATATCCTAACTTTATTTCCTATAAAATTATGTAAATTTCATTAAATTTTTATATTTTAAATTATTCAAATAATTTCTTATTCTAATCACCCAAACCCTCTAATTATTTGAATAAAAATTAGAAGAAATTTAGCCAAAAAAACATGATTATGATAAATTTTAAAAAGCTAAACAAACAAAAAATATTAATTCTCAAATAATCATAATTAAGGAACGACAAATATATATATATATATAAAAGGATATTTCTAATGTGACTTGCATATACCAAGCGAAATCATGTGCCCAAGCCCAACTTAGTTTAGAACTTCCAAAACATGCACTTAAGAGCTATATGCACCAATTACATATAATTGTGATTAGAGCAGTCAAAATGGATCAAAACTTTGAACTCTACCCTATTGACTCCCTATATAATTCTCTATTTTTTTAAAAGCCTTATAATTAGCGAGTTTACATTAGTTCTAAATTCTAAAATAAAAAAAAATAATGAACTAAGATTAGAATTAAAGATGAATTAGCTCACTTATTTTACAAAGTAAAACTATTATATTATTATTTTAAATATTTATTAAATTATTTTATTTAAATAAATTAAAATTTATATTTAAAATATAAAAATAACTTTTTTATTCAATATATTAAAATTTTATCATAAAAATAATATTAAATATAATTATATTATAAAATTAAATTTAACTTTTGCATTTTGTTAATTTTATTAATTAAATTTAATATAGTACGTTAATAATTTATAATTTTCATTAAAAATTAATATTAAATATTTTTAATTAAATAATAAAATAATATTTTATAAAATACTATTTAATAATTATTTTAATAAATTTAATCATAATATGTTTAAATATTTTTTAATAATTTTTAATAATTATAAATTTATTATAACTTAGGTTCATACATGATATGGTTATCTTTAATATAAATATAAATATGTAAAATCTTAAATGATTAATTTTAATATATTTTATATATATATATATAAGTATAAATAAATTTTTTATTATTAAAAAATATAGTCGTTAATATACACTTAAAATTTAATAATTAATAAATATTTATACAAATTAACATATAAATAAAAAATTAAATTATTAGTTAATTTATTAATTTATATATAATATATAAATATATATTTTAATTTATCGTATATATACTATTTTTTATATTATATTAATACTATAGTATAGTTAATTTTACGTATATTTATAAATTTAAAATAATAAATTAATAAATAAAATAAAATATTATATTATATATATATATATTGTATTTAGTTTAAAATTTTATATTAAATTTTATCAAATTTTTTTATTAAGATAAAAATTTAAAAATATAAATTATTTTTCTACGTCTATAAATTTTATAATATAAAATATTCTATATTTATAATTTCTACAATAAAAATATTTATTTATATTTTTAAAAAAATATATTAACTTTTATTTAAGTAGATTTAACTATTTTTGTCATTATTATTTTTTATTATCAATTTTATATGTTTATTGTGAATTTATTTTTTGAATATAAAATATTTTTACATAAATATAATATGATCCCTAGAAAAAAAAAAAAAAATATATATATATATATATATAATATTTTTAATAATTTTATAAAAATAAATAAAAATAATAATAATATAAAACTTTTATAATATAAACATTTATAATTAATACTCAAATAATATTTTTAAATTTATTTATAAAATTATATAAAAAAATTTATAATTATTTAATAATTACAATAATACAAATAAAAATTATATAAAAATTATTAAAATTATATAATAATCGTTATTTTTATTAATTTTATTTAATAATAACAATTATTATAAATATTTATTATTATATAAATTTTATTTTTTTTAGGTAATTTTATTAGACTACAAATTTGTAATAAAAAGTTTTATGAAATAAATATTTGTATTAAATATTTTAATAATTATCACAATTTATATCAAATTTTTTTAAATTTAATTTTTAAAAATATATAAATTTTTTGACCCACAAAATTCTGGGCTTTCAACCCTATGAGCTTATTAATTGATAAGCTTTTTGGCCTGCGGAGCCTTTTGACCCTAACTCACAACTAAGGCTAAAATTGGACTAAATTTTTGACAGGTCTAATTGTGGAAAAATAACATTTTTTAAGAGATTACTCTTTACACCACTCTTTTTTTTTTTTTTTTTAAGTTGCACCACCTTTTTTTTTTTTTTTGTTCTTCCACGATTTAATTTTCAGAAATATATTAATATATCTCAAAAATTAAATTGTATTAGTTATTTATAAATCAATTTTGAAAAATAAATTCTGAAGTAATTTTATATAAATTAAATTATGAAATTCCTTTACAAATCACTTTTGAAGAAATACATTAAACATATTTTTAGAAATTAAATTTCAACATTGACAATAAAAAAAAAGATTATGCAAATAACAAAAAAAGAGTAGTACAAATTACAATCCCCCAATTTTTTAGGGCAAACAATAGCTCATACAATTAGTTTCATACATCTGCTATAATTGCTGTGTGTCAATCAAATATAAATTTTTACTGCAAATGCCGTACTCTATGAACCACACTATCTCCACTATTTCACTAACTAAAACCGCGTGAGATAAACAACTACCACAGATACACATGTTTGGTTGATAATCGGATATACATCCGTACAATTTATGAAAATAAGAATGAGGCCATTTATTGCATAACTTTCCTCAGAAAATACCTGTCACTCAGGCATTCGCACAATTAGAATTCTCCGTAGCATTTCAAGCACATGACCGTATTCAGCACCTACTGGCTACTGCATGCATGTGTAGAAAAGAGAATCAGTTATGCCAATGACAGAGTAGAACAAGAAAATAAAATCAAAATAAAATACGTGAAGAATGACAGATACTGACCATCAGGAAAAAGAAAAATTCAATTTCTCAAAGAAGCTCACAGAACAGATGTTCCCCAGGCAGGAGTTGACGTATGAGATGCAAACTCTTGATCAAATCAAAGGAAGTTCCTCTGAAAGTTTCCAGAAGAAAATCTTGAAGATAAACCCGTAGACATGCTTTCTGAATCAAATTTTACACTTTTCCTCCCAGCTGTCAGATCCTTTTCACGGTCCCATGGCTTCCATGGATGTTGACCCACCCAATCTTCCTTCTCTGGCTGTTGCTTGCACTTTTTCTTGGACTTGCTAGCAACATCTTCTTGATACTTCTGCACCAACGTTTTTGATCGTTTTGCTTTGTTGTATTTGTCCACCAATTCTGCATCCGCACTAGACCTTTTCTTTTCCTCTTCATTTGAGGCCAATGCAGTAGCCTCATTGTATGCTTCCAAATAACTGCCATGTAAATAACAATTTTACCATAAAGCTCTTGATTTCACGAGTGGACTAAACAGGTTGTGGGGAAGAGAAATTGATCAACCAAAGCATTCTAGAATGAAAGAGGATACATACTGCATCTTTGCTTTCTGAGCCCTGTCCGAAGGGGTGTCTGTCCAAGCACTAGTATCACCTCTACCTTCCTTTGAGCCCCGGCTAAATTTGGTTGATTGCATAGTCATACCAGGCTGAAATACATAAATACATTAAATAAATGGGTATTATTTAGCAAAAAACTGAATTCCATTTTTATTAATAACTTAGTCGTCTGCATATTTTAATTCATTAGAATCAAATTAACAAAGAAAGAGAATGCTAAAACAGATTTTAATATTACTCTTTATTATATTATGTAGAAGGGATACATTTTCTCAAACTTCTTGTGTCCTACTACTGCGCTTTTATAGCTTGCCCAAGAATCAAAAATCAACTGATTGGCAAGACTTACTTTCCTTTCCGGGGGTAATGTTGTCATCCACTCATCTCTTTTTGGTTCCACTTTAACCTCTGTCTGTGCCAGAAGCTCATCATCACCCTCCATGGAAATACCTGCCACAGATTTCCTAGCAATAAGATAACAAAATTCACAAGTAATATAATTCAATCACATGCCCTTCCCCTTTGAGAAAGAAAAGTAAAACTGCAATTTATATAAGAGGGGATTGTGCCTCTATCAAGAGGGGCACGTTGGTTCATGCCAGACCAATTTTCCAACCTCAAATGGTCACAAGAACTCTGCCAGCAAGAGGCCAAATTGCAAGCCAGCAATTAAACACACTACCACCTAATTATCAAGCACTAACACTTTCAATGTGTTGGTTTATTGACATATGACAATAAAGTAACTTCTCCCATAGGTGACAGGCAACATCATCACAATTAAGAACAAAATAAGCATAAAAAGAGACTTCTAAAATGAGTCTAATCGTTGTGTAGAGTAAAGCTAGAATATGCAGTATTACTTGAAACAGCCAGAAAAAAAAATCTCCTCAAGGTCACATATTACACCCTTTAAATACCAAGATATTAATACATTTTTCTTCAGGTTACATAGAAATGGTATTATGCAAAATGATAGTCCGAAAATGTAATTTCACCATTAAGCTTCTATGAAATGAGCAATTTTCTCTTAAATTTCCTCCACAACCATCCCCCCCCCCCCCCTCTTCTTTTCTCATGTTTTACTTGGGGGGACCAGTGCTACAATATCTCAACACAACAAAACACATTCGGTTCATTGAGCAACCTCACCTTGAGATCTTCTCCAGAGAGCATTCTCACGCATGGTTTTAAGTTCCGCCTGCAGTCACATGTGAAGATATTAGGATTTTCAAAGACTAATATTACACCCAGACAAGTAAGTTCAAGTTACCTTAAATTTCTCTTGTTCTTCCTTGAGTTTGATTTTCTCATCCATTGCTTTCCGCTACAGAAAGCACACATCATCATCTCGTTAATAAAAAAATTCAAAAACAGAAATATCAATAACCCTAAATCTTAAAATATCTAAATGGGTCTGCTAATTACATATAAAAACAGAAACTATTATTCCTATATATGTCACATCTTAGCACTTTGTAGCATTTTCTTTTGCAGTGAATGAAAAAAGTTTCCAGTCAATCCTCTTTTATTAAAGTACTGAAATTATACTAAAAAAATAACAAATTAACAAAACTTAATACATGTATTTTTTCTAGTCAACCAATACCTGTGTGTGTGCATAACTAAAACTAAGCCAAATACATTCATAATTGTAACCATTCATATATATAAACCTGTATCTATAACCTATACCTACAACTAAAAGTGAATAGCAAAAGTAAACATTCCCAATATTTCAGTATTAGTAAGTTTATAGATAGACAAATGTCTTTCCTGTTGTATCCCAGCAGAGGAAATATATTATATATGCACTCAATTCACAGATAAGCCTTTGAACTCAAAACAAAATCAATTTTAAATAAAATAAACCCAAATTGCCAAATAGCAAGATAAATGCAATTTCCTAGGGATGTAGATAACCACCTCCATGATTCAGAGAGGAATTTGTACACTATTTTTCTGTATCAGTTTAAAATACAAAATATATTTTTTTTCAAGTGAACAATCAATCCCCCCCAAACAGATACAGATAAAGCAATACATTAAGCGTGTCAAAGAAGGAGCTGCAAGCAAATCCCACAAACAGCACATTTAACTTCAATAATAAACCATCCTCCTAGCAGGCTCACCTTTTCTGGATCTTGTAACTCTTTGAAAGCTTTATTTAACTTAATAAATGCCTGGTGGGCCTGTGGATGAGAGCATTTATCTGGATGAACTAATAGTGATATCTTCCAGTACCTAAGGGGCATTAAACAAGATGACATTATGAGTTAAAGTTTGGTTGTTTTTGCTGTTATTGTATAGAAAATAGAATTTAATATATTTCAGTTGCTTTTCCTTTTTAGTTCCCTGTATAGATATACAACACCTTGAGTACATTATTGAAAGTCAAAGGAAATCAATTCTTTCCAGTCACATTTTTAATATATTTTCTACCATAATAAAATCATGTTTTTGAGTTCAAAACAACCTGTATAGTCTATTTTTGTTCGTAACATATTACAATCATTTGGATCATGAATACTTTCACAAGAACTTAATAACTTCTTTAGGGTGATAGGCTGCAAAAAACTGAAGAATCATTTGGGCAATGAACAATTACTAACTAATTTTGCTGCAGGGCAAAACAGTTGAATAAGTTTTTATAAAAAATATATATATATTTTTTAAATTGACCAGAAACTGTAATTACTTCACTTATTTAAAGAAGCACAACAGAGAACATACCTTTTCTTTATGTTCTCACTAGACATATTATGGTTAACTCCTAGAACATCATATGGACTGTCACCCTCAACTTCCATGATCCTGGTGACCTGAGAAATAAAATGGTAACAGTCATAAACAGATACTTCACTTTAGCTGAAGGAAGCTACATAATCAAAGGACACAGTAGAAAGCAAGTGATACCAAATTTAAGTTATTTCTTATGTTCCTCACATAAAATCTGATCTTATAGTTGGAATACCAAACATCAATCATTAAATCAGAGTATTTCACTTTGATAATTGAAGAAAGAAAAAGAAAATTATCATAATCAATGAATGACTATGGGATTAAATACCTCTTCAAAACGTTCTGCTTCATTAGCTGATTCTGCTTCAGAAACCATAGCTGGCGGTGGAGGTCCTATAAATAGTTCAGTGTCGTCGTCCAATTCAGCTTCTCTATTGACAACAGTATCGAAATACCATGCAGCATCATCAGATGTGAATTAACTCAAATTGGTCGGGAATAATAATAATAATAACTTGAATGGGTCATTACCTGAGCTCGGTTTGTGCCTCAGTTAATTTGGCTGCAGCAGCAAGTAATTCAGCTGATGGCATTGCAGGGCCAATCATCCTGCAGCATAAAGTAAGAAACATTTAGGGAAAAAGTAATGAATAAATGTCAACAAAATGACAAAAAGAATGATCACCTTCTTCTAGGACCAACAGAATGATCTTCTGAAGTTTCTGTTATATGGCCATCAACAATCTTTTCATTTCCCACATCTATTGGAACTGAACATGTTTCAGGCACTGTTGCAGAAGGATGAACTTGCTCATTCACGAGACACATATAAGAGTGAATTATAGGGCCAACAACATCCAATGTAGGACGAGCTTTAGAAGGAAGTAAGAAAACTCTATCTCCATTTTGCTTAAGTTTTAAGGAAAGGAACAGCTTGTTCAAATGCTTCACTAAAGATCTTTCTGATATACCCTTTATGTCAACAGCTTGTCCATCATCAATCATTTGCAAGAGCTAAACACAACAGCAACACCACAAATAAGAATCAAATATACATACAATAATTTTCATTGGGCCTTGGAATATACAATCTTTACACATACACACTATGAGGAGACCAATTAAAATGATGCAAATTAATTGTTACCTGCTTCAAATCGTTGCCAACATTGGGAAATTCCCTCATCATTTCAGTCACGACAGTTTCGGGTTGAACCCTAGGTTCGTCTTCCTCCTCCGAAGAGTGGGACCCATCGGAATCGTAGGCTCTCCTCTTCTTTTTCCTCTCTCTGTCTCTCTTCTTTCTTCTTCTCTCCTCCTTTTCCCTCCTCCGCTTGGACCCTCCGTCGCTCCTTCGGCGCCGTTCCTTCTCGCGGCGGCGGTGGCGTCTCGAAGAATCGGAATCAGAGTCGGATTCGGTGGAGGAAGAGGATGAAGAAGCGGTTGAATCGTGCAGACGGCGCTGTTTCTTTCTTCTGTCAACCATTCTGGCGATTCACCGATTCACGCACCAGAAATTTGCATATGATTCAAGAGAACCAGCTAATCAATTCAATTTCAAATTTCAATCTAATTTTTCAATTTCAATTTCTTCTTTACTCCTGTTTATTTTACCACTTATTTTACTAAATCTTTTTCTTTCGCAGATAAGAAAACAAAATATTATTAAAAAAAAATTATTATATTAGAACTATAAAATTATTTAATATTTTTCCCCTAATAACTAGTAAATGTAACGCGAAGTTTTTTTATATTCAATAATTATAGGATTTAATTATTTTTTATTATCAAGTTAAACTTATAATGTATGAATACTCCTTTCATTGTCTGCCTAATTAAAATCTATTTAACAGATGTTGCCAATAATTGAGAAAATAACTTATAAAAAAATTTTATAAAGTTTTTTAATTTAATAAATTTTCTGATTAAATTTTTTATATCAATTATTATTTTAAAAATTTAAATAAATATTTAATTAAATTATTCATTTAAATGCATCTTTAATCCTTAATCCATGAAAAAGACCACAGGTATTTCTAATATGCTCTTATGTGCGGTTCTTTGGTTTAGTTTGAAAGATGAACGAGCTTACATTGGAAACGTTTCCAGTACTGTTTTGTTAGCATAGAAAGAATAAGAAAAAAAACATAAATAATGATATACTTTCACTTGTTTAATTAAATAGAAAATAAATGGAAAAAATGATTTTTAAAATTGAACATTAAACTTTTTCTTTCTTCTATTTTTCTTTCAGTTTAAATTTTTAATATTTTTTTCATCTACTTTTCTGTCACTCCATTAAAAGAAGATAAAGTACAGTTTTTAAATTTTTAAAAAATAAAATATAAATAAAGAGGAAAATTGCAATTATAAAAATAAAAATATTAGTTTAAATAAATAAATAATAAAAGAAAGAAATGAAGATAAAATTTATATTTAATAAACAAATTTTAGTTTTTTACATTTTAAAAAAATATTTTTAAAATTAAAAAACAAACAAACTCTAAAGATTTTTTACTATAACAATGATAGTTTTTTTTTTTTTATAGTAAAATGACTCATAAAAGAAGTGTTCCCACACTTAACCCTTTAACATCTAAATTAGAAGAATTTTGATTTAGGCGGGTATGTAGGTAGTAGAATTTGTGTACTGAACCATGGAAGTTTTCTTTTACATGTAACTTCTACAATTTAAATATGTAAAACTTTTATTATACAAAGACTCGTATTGTAAATATAATTATAAAACTTATGAAAATAAATTTGAAGCAAATTATTAGAATAAAATATAATTGGTCATGAGTTAAGTACATGGAATATATATGATTTCAAATTAAAAATTACTTTTAATAACAAATGATTGAGACCCCCTTTTTTTTTATTGAGCCGGAAATCCAACTCAGAACCTCTGGAAATTAATTACAGTAAAATTAAGTTTAAAATTATAACATTAAATTGTAAAGTGAAATTACATCAACACTCCAACATCATACATATAAATACCTAACACCAACTCTAAACTAAAGAGGAAAGATTAATCTCACAAATACCAGTCAAATACTGAAAAGTAAAAATTAATTACAGCAAATCACAGTGAATAACCTCTTGACATATTGAAAGACTTCTGCATTTTACTGAGAATAACCTCTTATAATACTTCTGAATCCCTTCTTTACTTCAGCCTTGGTTGAATCTCCTCCCACCTCTCCAATGTTTATTAATGGCGTAGAACAGCATAGTGGTTTTATTGTTTGTACTTCAAGGTTGGATGTTTGTCTTCTTTTTTTTTTTAATTGTTTGAGCTTATGCTCTTTTTTCTTATATTTTTTTTAGTAGTACGGCTCTAATACTTTTCTTTTACTATTTTTTTTTAATTTTATTTTTTGATTTGAGCAGTTCAAATTTTAAATGTGACCCTAATCTAAAAAGGAAAGAGGATGATGAACTACAAGCTTAAGTGGCTTGCTTTTCTAAAATAGATTAAACAATTTAGAGCTAAACTTTCTTAAAGAATTGAAAAAAGTGTATAGAATGAGTTTAGCTTAGTATAATAAAGTAATTTTTCTTGATATTAGTTTAGCTTAGCACTTTTTGCTAAATGTTGAATTTTATAAATTCAATCATCCCAAATTCTCATTTCAAGCAGTCAATTTTTTGAAATGTAGTTTCACTATTTTTCCTGTTCAAGTTTTTGTTAAGAAAACACACTAAAATCGCCAATTTGGAAGTTGTAGAACTCCTTACAAACGAGGAGTTACTCTATGTAAAGAAATCATATATGATGAAATATTAACTAACAGCAGTTTGAGCTACACAAATTTTAAAATAACTATAATTAGATAATTAGAGATTTATACAGAAATCATATATTTGGGATAACTGCCATAATCGTTGATGCAAAGTACAACTCGGACCAACATCGGCTAACGTTGTAATCAAGTAGCAAACATCATAAATTTTAGTTTGCCTTGAATCAAATAAACATATTGCACCATTAACAAACCACATCAGATTTTAATCATTGATTTTCTCTATTAGCTAGCCAACAAGTTCATTCAGTACGTGCTATGTTCTTCTCTAGTGCCTTAGTCCCGATCGACCATGCATATTACCTCACAGTTCAACTAAATTCTACATTATTCATCTAACGACATGAATAGATGACAAAGATAGTAGCTAATCTCAACTACACTAATCCATATGATCCAATTTCTGACATATAATAAAGTCATGGGCACTTGAGCTTTCCTCCATGTGTGGTCAAAGAAGCATAGCAAGAGCACTCATCTCGGTTCCCAGCTGTGCCTGGTGGCACGCAATTGCACCTCTGGCAGCAACTATTGCATGCCCTTAAGCACATTTTCTGTCTTGATGCCTTGCTGCACCTGTAATTGCACTTGCCAGCACAGTCTGCATGATATAATTTCACAGGGTACACAATGATTTCACTTTCACTTTGTGTATATTATACATAACCTTTAATAAGCACAATACTATTTATCTAAGTTGGAAGACTGGGAAAGAGAATTAAAGGATATATGAAAATTCAGCATTGTAATTGGTTGACAAGTGAAAAAAACATAATATTAATCTACATATAACATCTTTGAAAATTTGCAGAATATATATTTTTTATATATAGTACAGTTTATTGTTTACTCCCTCCATTTATTCCCTCCATCATATATGCACATTAAATTAAAATTAGAAATATCGACAGATCTTTTTTAGCCTTTAAAATATCAGGTGGTTTATATTACTCGAGCACACGTACAAATGAACTTACAATTAGTTATTAAAGACTTTACTAATGATTAGATGAAACATTTCATTATTTAAATGTTTAATTACATTATACAAGAACAATTATTTAATTTTTCTTTAGATAATTAAAGATTTAGCTGATTTAAGTAAAATATAATAAATTATAGATTTATTAGAATATATTTTATTGATTTTATCATTAATGAAAAATTCTTTTTTTTAAGTAGATATCACATTTTAGAGGTGTAAAATACAATTATATATATATATTATGTACCAACTAATTAATTACTAGATTTTGGATGGTTTTATCCATGTCAACATATTTCATGATCATCTGTGCTTAACGTACTAAGCTACAAACAGTACAGTGACCAGTTTCAATCCCTACGCTGTCAGTGTGTAAATTATAGCTCCCAATCTTACCTATCTGCTCGGCTGCAACCATGTGCTGATTTCCACCATAGTTCTCCAACTGAAAATTTTTCCATAATTAAACTATTTGAGTACTAGTCTAGTTCTGTCTAGGCAATAACAAGAACGTAAGGAAAGTAAAATAAAGGAAAAATTAACAACACGGGATTAATGACTTATTTATATGAATAATAAAGATAAATTATATCAAACTTTCATGTTTCCTCAGCTTATTTCTTATATTTTATATGTTAATAAACTTTTTTTACACTTTTTTATCACATAACTCTCTCTACCGTTACTTTTTTGTATCGTTTTATCCTTTACGAAAGAATTTTTATTGACAAAAAAAAAGTATAAGTGGATAAATTGAAAAGGTACAGAAAAATTATAAAAAAAATAAAATATAATTTACGCAAATAATAATAACAGATGAAAAAAAAATCTGGAAATTAATATAGACATGCAAAAATTATAATTCAAGATTCCACATGTGAAACAAATTAACCCCACAGTACATGTAGAAAGGGCTGGGGAAAAACTCATCATGAACTGGATAAATAGATATCATAAAACTTATAGGAAGCTAGGAAGTAGTAATATTCGTTATATATGAAAAACACATCATGGAAGAACCACTTTACCACTTGTATGAGGATGAAGCAGAGAATAACCAAGATTACTGTGTTTTTGGAGAAGGCCATAGTTACCTGTTTTCTTAGATTACAAGAAAAAGAAAGACTTGACAAAGAAACAGTGACAGAGATAATTCTGGGTCGGAGGCTTTGATGGTCACACTATTTATATGGCAAAAAGAAAGGTTATTTTTCAAAGGGCAAGTTCCAGCTGTAGCATGATAATGTGATCATATCCGCATCGTTCAACAAACTACCCGATTCATATGCAAACACTTTGAAAGTTTTCTAGCCGTGAATGAATTGGCGACTAAGTAAATGATGTGAATACCTAAACTTTTTGTTTGCCTTCGTTGAAGGAGTAAGAAACCTATTGGCTAAGTTATTTCTTGTAGTAGAATTTATTTTAATAATTAACTTTTATTACACCGCCCTCTCTTTTGTATGGCTATTGCATTAAAGAAAGCATTTAAATTTTTTTAACTTAAAATGGAACGCCCACCATGCTAGGTAACTTATGGCCACGATATGATAACTATAAAGCAAAATGACATTAAACTCTGACTCAAACTTGCTCTGATACTTGTTTCAATTCTCTGTGATCAATTATTTTATAGTGTGTTTGGTTGCTTGTTTGTTTTTGGTCTCATGTGGTGAAGGGGCTGCTACATAAAAGATAAAAGCCCGAGTCGAAGACTATAATTTTGATCTTGCTAATGAGTATTTTATAATTATTTAAAGTATTTATTTATTATAAAATTGAATGCCGTCTAGAGAATGTTAAAGGACGTGGATTTGAAAATCTATATCCATGTTAACATTCTTTGGTCCCAAGAGATTATTCCAAAATTTTTTTTGAATGCCACTGTATATACACGCGTGAAGCTGATTAACGTGATTATGGTCGATGGTAATTTTTATTTTATTTTAACTTGTATATATTATGACTCCTCTACCTGAAGAGAAAATAATTATATATGAATCTATTATACTTACACACAGACGCACGTCTCTAAAATCACTAATTTATGAAACTTATAATCACATTTAAAAATAGAAAAAGATATGACATGATATAATAATTTATTCTGCATATGGTTTCGCAATATTAGTAACATTATTAGCATGCTGCTACTCTTACTTTGAGTACGCGTCTATTAATTATACCATCTAAGCTGCGATTGAAAGATTATTATTATGTGGGCTAGCTGTTATGTAAACTAAGAATTAATAATTACTTTGAAAGAAAACTATTCTATTGACTTTACAATGACAAATCTTCAGCTCCACTATTCATTTCATTGTAGTTCTCCACGCGTCAATCTATATATTGTGCAAGTAGAAGATTTGCATGCTTCCTGTATAGCTGTTTTTCAACGTATTTATAGAAGTTAATTAATGGATTTTTACTTTCAGATTAACGCGTCTATGTAGTTCTCCTTTTCTTTCTTTAGGCTTTCCTTCCATATAACATGCTTCTTTTCTTCATATTGTTCGTGTGACACTCAGCGAAAGAAGTCATTCAACTGAAATACGAGGTCATTAGGGTATCTAACATGTTAGTGATTATAATATTAGTAAATATTTTTAACCAAACACTTATAAAAATCAAAATTTACATTTATTAAAGAATAAAAATTTTGTACAAAATCGTATTTATATTTAAATTATAAGGTTAAATATTTGGTAAAAATTTAGATATTATCTTTCATATTACTAAGAATTAACAAAATGAATATAAGACTGTAGTTGCATGAATTAGAAGAAGTAAAATATACATCTCGTAAAAATATTAGTATTGATTTATTTGAGTATCGTAATTGGTCTTGTAATTTGTTTAATAGTTTTTAATAAAAACACACGTATATTGTAGAAATACAATCTTTTTCTTCTTTCTCAAGAATCGATAAAAAATTATATAATTATTTAAAAGTTATGAGTGAGTGTCCAATATTTATTTTAAAAGAAATGGAGAGTATGAAAAGTTATAATAGTTCATACCATAACTAGTTATGAAGGATTATAATAGTTTCAACCGTTAATAATCTAGTAATAATCTAGTACAGTTACAAGCTAAATTATTCAAGTATACTTCATATGTGATATTCAATATTCATTGATCACAAAATAGATATTTTAAGAGATACATCAAGATACCATTCAACCAATAATTATACCTAACTCAATAATCAATCATAAAAAAATAATATTTTCTAATTATATGTACATCACAAACACAAAAATTCCTTTACATAAAATTATATTGGTTTTAATTTATTGAAACAAAATACATATAAATAAAATTTTCATATATTATATTAGTATGATTATATATATATATATATATATATATATATATATATTTAAACCATAAAATCACATAAAAACAAAAATTTTATATTAAATTTATGAGTATATAAGTTGTAAAACCGATATTTATATTTGATATCAATATTTAAACATGGTTTATCATAAATTAATCGCTTGAGTTTGAATTTGCAGCTCATGTATTGAAATTGATGATGGATGCATGAGAGCTACGTGGCCAGCCATAATTAATTGACGTCCCATTCATTCAAAGATGGTATGTTATAAGGGTCAGTATGGGAGAATATAAAAATGGAAACTTATGAACCAATTTTTATAAGATATGGCCTCTGAACTTTTAACCTTTTGATCTTAATATTGATGCACCACTGTCCCCTATACCTATCAATATCTCTTTCAATCAATTATTGTCAGTTCATCGTTCACTGGAACTAGTCTGCTTTCTTACCTAACTATTCCTTAAACCACTATAAAAGATAAAAATTAAAATTAACCTCAGTTTTTTTAAATTTTTTATTTGATATTTTTTAATCTAATATCTCAAAACATATTTTTTATTTTTATTTTCATATAATTACTCTATTAATAGTTTGTTAATTTATTTTATTATTTGTTTATATAATATTTAATTTGACTCATATATAACATAAATTAGATATATCATTAATAACGTCACATCTTTTATATTTTTGAAAACATTTTAACTAATAAAATTAAAATTTCTGAAATTAATATTTAAAAATATAAAAGGATAAAAAATATAGACGTCCTATTATTATTCATATCAGTTTTATTTTATTTTAGAAATGTCCCACAAGTATATACACAAAAAGTAATAAAATATTAATAAAGAAATTGTGTAAAAAAATAAGATAAGTTATTTAAAAATAAAAATAAGGAATCAAATTAAAAAATTCTAAATTTTTAAAAAATCAAAAATTATTTGTGCCATATTTTCTGTCATCAAGCAGAAAAATTCATATGAAGAAAACATATCTACATACATCCTAAAACGTGTTATTAAAGTGTATGTGTTCATTAGTTAGTCCAAATACCAGTAGGTGGCAAATAATGTTAGAGATGAAAGTGCATTATGTAGAAGATATATAAGAGAATATATAAAGTTTAAGGATATATTTATTATTACTTTTAAATATTTATTGTGATTCAAAAAAATGATAATAAACACACTCAAAGTTTAAAAGGAAAAGTTCTACGCCCACAGCAATTAGCATGAGGAAAAATCGAATTATAATTTGAAGAATTAAAATAACTTACTATTTATGACATCAAAAGTTCTATTGAAATCAGCACCCCTTTGCAGTGAACTTGAGAGGATCTCAATTTGGAACGGATTTTCAGGAGAAAGATATTTTTTTTAGTCTATCAAATTATACATGTTTATTACTTTAGTCCTGATTCTACAAAATTCTCTATTTATTTTAATTATTTATACAAAATGGCAATAAAATAAGTAAATAAATAATACTTTTAAAAAAATTAAAGATTAAAATGAACATTTTATAAAGTTAAGAAATAAGGGATTAATTTAAAGAATTAAAGTAAAAAAAAAGTTGTTGCAGTGACATGCATTCACCCAAAAACTTTGACAAGTTGAAGAGAATAGATGCGTGACTGCAGCAAATTAATATGCAACCTAACCTATAACGCGGTTTAGAAAAAGTTTGGTAAAATGGATCGTCTTAAAAGTGTTTTCCTACAAGATGCCGCGTGAATTCATAGATGATTTGTCTCGATTGCGAAAAAACAGCTGAATATATGATCCAATGAACTCTGCATGCAAGGTTTCAGTTTCATTTACACACTGAGGATCGATAAAGTTACATGATTTCATACCAAAGCTATGCATAAATGGACAATAATTGCGTTTTGCATCAAATGAAAAAGTGATTTTAGAACTGTGCAAGTACCAAGATTTACAAACCACAGTCTATTTATAAAAAGAAAAGATAAATCTATTTTTTTTACATTCTTATTATTAAGCTATTAATTAAGAATATGGTATAGTTTGAATAAATTTATAAGGAAGTTCTTATAAAATGAAAAAATTAATATAAAAAATAAATAAGAAAGGTAAAAAATAACTTATTTTTTAAAATTTTAAAAAAGTTAAAGAAGAGAGCTTATGAAAAAGTATAAATTATTTTTAACTTATAATTTTTTTTTATTTTTATACTTTTTTACATTTTTTTAAAAAATTATTCAACCTAAGATATATATAAGGCAGGTGAGTCCTTAAATTTAGAAATGTTAATGGCGTGATAAAATTAACTTTGTTATTAAATTTTTTTTTATACACGCAAGTTTTTTTTATAAAATAAGTATGTGTTACTTAAACTAATCACTTGAGATTAAGATTTTGTAACCTATATTTATCAAATGGTGGATAACTCTATGGCCTTCTTGCGGTGCAAGATTCCCTTCTGATATAAGTATTATTAAACTGTCTTTAAAATATTTCAATCTAAGCTCCTTTGATAAAATAGAAAAAATGAATGTGAAAACCCTATCGACAAAAACAAAATGAAAATTCTCCACATTACACTATGCTTGAATATTTAATAGTAAACAAAATGATAAAAAAAGAGAGAGAGAGAGATGAAATAAAGCTTATCATCCATTATTTAGATAATTTTTATGAATAGGAATAGAAAAAGGAAGTTCTGTATAGAATAGAATTACACATTCTATTTTAAACAATCCATATAAAGAACCTGTAATCATTTTTATTTTACTCTTTCCTATTTCTTTCCATTCTATCACTTTCCATCAATCTATAAAGGGGTGATTGGATTAGAGCTGTAACTGTATCAATTTAGGAGCAAATATAACTATATAATAGATCATGAACAATAATACTTCTTCCAACAAAAGAACATGTTTATAAACAACCTCACTCTTGAGTTACTCCATGCCGTGATCTGAACACCCTTCAGCAATTCCTAGTAGTATCTAAATCATAAGCATAATTGCAAAGTCGACCTCTTCATCTTAAGAATGAATCAATTCATGCCCCTTGGCATCCAAAAAAGTGAGAACCTTTCTTCACATATATGAATGAACAGAGAAATGATGCTGTAGTTAACAAATTTTACAAAAGATACATTCTCATCAAATCACCTAGAAGCGAACCCAGCATCTAGTGCATTGTGCCATACAGTCTCCTTTACAATCAACATTATAGCCCAAAACTTTTGGATTTCTAAGGAGAAGGTTCCTAAGAGATTTTCCTTCAATGCTCCATTGTTCCTTCAGGATCTTTACATTAGCTTTCAACTCTTCCTCTAAGTTACATCCAAGAACTTCTGGAAACTTTTTGAGCAACTTGGACAGATCATCCTCAGAAAGATTTAAACTCTTCAGATAGTCTAATATTCCATTTACTGTCTCGAATTTCGGAACTTCCTTTGCACGTTCTTCTCCCCAATAAGGTGAATGAACAATACCAAATGCTTTTCCAAGTATCTTATCCTTTTCTTCATCACTAAAGTTAAATGGAGAAAGAGCTTGCTTGCATGTTTCCCACTTACTCTGATCTTCATTACTTGTGAGTATATTTTCTATCTGTACGGCTGAATGTAATATCCAATGTTTGATAGAAGGATTTGAGGTCCATGTTGCAGTTGCCACACTTGGTGAAAATCTACAAGAAAATCTGTTATTTGACAGATGAATACTCGATGATGAAGCAGCAAGATCAGCCTGCATGATTATATACACAATTTTCAGACCTGGATAACCATTATTAGCCCTCATGTTATGTGTTCCAAATTTCTATTCTGGCCATTGCAGATCTAAATGCAAAGGTTTTAGATGAAACGTGAGCACGAGGCATAGATAAAAATCAGAAATGTGAGTAGAAATGCCTTATATGATTGTGTAATGATATAGTCTGTTATAAACATTGAGTAAATAGTCACATGATTAAATTCAAACCTCCATACTGTTGTAAGTGTAATTCAAGGAGAAATGTGAAAATATGACTTCAGTTCAGTATCAGAAAAGGAACAGATTTTATACAGTGTATAGATTAAAAATTAAAAGGATCTCAATACTCAGGCCTTCAACCCTGATGATATTTATAACCCTTTGAGAAGCAGGAGGAGGAAATGATGCCATAGAAGAAAGAACAGAGAACTTTTCTTAAGTTCCTAAGCAGAATATTTTCAGCTGATATTTGTTTGTGAACAAAGTAGTATTCTCTAGCAGCATTTCAAAGCCTTGGATTTTCAAGTTAGCCTATGTTTAGGTAATCTAAGCATTTTGAGTGTGACACACTAATCACAATTATTATTCTTACGTTAATAATGAAAAGAAAAACATTCTTCATATTTTCTCAGCTCAAAATTTTACTAACGGGTTTCTTTACTGAAAGTATTTTTAATATCAAGTCAACCTCCAAAAATGAAAAGATAAGATTCTTGTCACGGTTTGAGACAGCTTATACATATGGTAAAACTAAAAGCAGAACCTTTTCATTTCAGCCTTAAATTCCACCAGCATATACAAAACCATGAAAACATTCTCCCAAATTATTACTGTTTGCATGTTTAGTGCTGAAAGCACACGGAAGCCCTCAAGAACTTCCCTCAGAAACCCAATTCTTAACTTTCTACAAAACTGGTTTCAGTGTTTCCCTGAACAAATCCATAAAGATAAATCCAAATATGAATTGTTTTATCAAATCTATCCAGACTAACCATTTCCTACCAAACACACACGTAGAAAGTAAATAAAAAAAGAGATGTTAAAATGCTCTTACCTTGCAATACCAAAACTGTGTTACAGAATCAATAGTGAGTATAGGGGAATTCAACTGCTTCCCTAGCATCCCTGCACAAGCAAAAAAATATATAAACATTAGATTGTAGAAAACACTGGGATAATTCATTGATCTAAGGACGGGTAGAAACTGAAAAACAAAAAGGGTACCCCAAGAAATGCTAAAACAGCTTCTTCCACCTCTAAAAGAGTCAAAAGTCAACGCTCTAAAAGAGTCACAAAAATTTCAATGACACACAGAAAAGGAAATTCCCCATGTTAACTGTTAGGTTGAGAATGGAAACTGAATTTATTCTCTTATGATTTTGGGAAATGAAAGGAAGGAATAGGAGAAGTGAAGGAGAGAAGAATTGAAAAGTTGAAGGTACCAGTGCGTCGAGAAGAAGGTGAGAGTGTCAAAGATGCGAACTTGAGACTCTCCATAATCGCCCTTTATGCTTCTTCACTAATTGCTTGCTTGAACAAGAACCGAAAAACACACTTTTTGTGGAGTTTAAGGTTCGACCTTTTGGTGGTTGAGGAAACTACACGTGAACCATTGTTTTTGATATTATACATAAACCCTTCTTTAGAACATAATAATAATTTATCAGATATAGACTTAAAAGATCTATATAATTCACTAAAGTTCTTTAACTAAAGTTATCACATATTATTTTTGTTTAATTTTCATTAACATCTTATTTATATATTTCTTAAATTTCATATTTTATATTTTCAATTTTTTTTTCATATTTTTATAGGTATTTATAAGTTTTTTTAATTACAACGGAAAATGCCATGATTTTATTATCGAAAAAAATTATGTTATGTACATATCGAATATAAAAAATAAATTACTATATAATCTTCATTTTGTATATTTTATTCAAAGCAAATTATTCTTACAAGTCTTCATAAAGATAACATTACGATAAAATGTATTTAATTTAATCCTTTTATATTTTACTAATAGTATTCAAATTTTATTTATATAAATGGTATAAGTTAAAAAATATATAAATTCTTAGAATGTTTGATAAAAAAGAAAAATTGATTTTTATTTAATTCAAATTATTTTTTAATCTTTTTTTATTAATAACTAGTTTATTAGTTCATAACATGTACGGTATAATAATAATAATAAAAATAAATAATTTATCAAAATGTAGATTAAAATAATATAACTAAAGAAACTAATTATAAAAAATAGAATGTAACTGAAAAAATAAATAAATTAACATATATAATTTGCATTAGACAATATTTCTTTTATATAAATAAAATTTTAATTCATAACATGTATAAATGCAGCATAAATTAAATTTAAAGAATAAATTATTTATATTTAACTTAAATATATATAAAATATATTCTTTATAATATTAAAAGTTGTGTAATTAAAATATCCAACTATTTGCTTAAATATATTATTGTAAATAAAAGTTTAATTGATAGAAAAAAATATTATAAAAATCAGTTAATGAGATTGAGTCAATACAATAAAATTTATTTATTTATAATATTGTAAAAAAAAACTAGTAATTTGTTGATTCTTTAAGATAGTGTAATAAAATATTTTTATTGAAATTGAAATATAATTTTTAAATATACAAATTAATTTATAAATGAGTATCCTTATGCGTATATTTGAACTTTTTTTTTTACATTAACGATAAATGACATTACCCTGTCTTTTGTTAATATTACCACAACTATGCATAACCAGCTATGTGGCCAAATCTATGGAAAGTAACGTTTTCCCCAAGTTGTTTCATTTATTGTGAATTTGGCATCGTTTTCAAGATTTCATCCATGTATAAGATTTTGGCAGAGAAAAATCTCTTTCCAAAAGTAAAATTGATCTTCATTTAAATAGAACCTTATTACGTGAGATCTTCTAAAACTAGATCAAAACATGTTTTATTTAATATGACCCAACGAACAATCTCAATAATTATAACAGAATAATTAAACAACGTATACTTCTCTTTCGTATATCAAAGCGGAAAAGGAAAAGAACAAAGTTGAAATTTTAGCCTAATCTTTGAATCCCAATCATTGAAAGACTTATACCCCTTTTTATGTACCTCAAATTTCCGGGGGAGAAAAAAAAACCATCCTCCGCCCAAGTCCCCGGTGGCACACCGTCGCCGACCACCTTCTTCTGAATATATCTCTCACTCATGTTTTTCTTGCTTATTTATATCAATCTTTTAGATTAATAAAAACCCATTATTTTTTCCACACAAAAAAAAAAGAAAAAAGAAAAGAACCCATCGTCTTCCATCGCTTGTTTCACACTCTTCTTCACCTCCCACCCACCCAAAAACTACAGCACCCCATCATTCCAAAGTATAAAAGTTTGAATCTTTGAGCAAAACAAGCACGTGGGTAGGTCGGGGTCGTTAGAGTGAGGGGTGTACTGTTATGGTATGGCTCAGCAGAGGCAATCGGGAATGGAGAGGATTGGGGTGAGAGTGGGGACCCACGATCTGCACCATGCCAACGGCGCTGGTGATCACGTCGCCGTCGGGATTCGCGGTGGTGTCGCTCACAAGCAGCCGCGACTTCGGCGATCGGCGCGATCCGACAGGGGCACGAACCTCTCGGTGTCGACAATCCTAGTTTTGCTCTTCCTCGTACTTGTCGTCACAGTGCTGGTGTTTTCTTACATTTCTAGAGACGGTGAAGTTCTGCTCTCGATGAGTGTTTCCTTTTTGTTTTGATCACAATGCCGTTGTTTCTTTGGGGTTCTTGAGCATCCATGTGAATCAGCATTGTGGGTTTTGCGTGAATTTGTTTGTGTGTCTCGTTGCCGGGGAAGTTGCTGTGTGAGAAAGGGTTTTTGAATCTGTGATTTAATGTTTTGCTTTGGGTTTTTCAGTGGTTTTAATTGGGGTTGGGTTATTTGGGTATGTAATAGATTGTGTTCAATGGTTTCATCCAATATGTCAGCCTAAATGTTTGCTTTCGCTTCGTCATCAAAGTTTATTTAATTACTGTTATTGTTATTTTTTTGAATGATTTTGCTTCTTTCTTTTTAAGATAGTCAATCTGTGGTTGCAGAAATAAATAAAAATGGTGATGATAGTGATGATTTAAAGAGTGATTCTGATTTTCTTACAAATGTACCAAGGATACAGAAGAAGAAAGTTCTTGACTTTGGACACGCATTAGGGGCACAGGGTCGGGATTCAAGATATTGGGATAAGGATGACAGGAGAAGGGATGAGGATTATGATGAGAAGATGATGGAGCAGACAAATAGTGATATAGGAGAAGAAAATGCTGGAAGTGATGCTCTTCAAGAGGTAAAGTCTTCTCGGGACGCTTCTTACACGAGTTTGAAGCGAAAAGGCGTTGGTTTGTATAATGAAGCTGGCCGTCATGAATTGAAAAGATATGAAGCAGAATATGAGGCTTCTTTGAAGAATCTGGAACATTCTTCTGAAGATGATGGGAAAATATCACTTGACACAGATTTGGAAAAGAGGAATGCAGCAGATGACATTGATGATGAATATGATGACTTTTTTGATTTTCATGATGCTCAAATAGACAACCCTGGTGCTAGTAGAAGTATGAGAGAGAAGCATTCTAATTCTAATGTACTAAGCTCGGACAATGAAGTTCAGAAAGAATCCAATGATTCTTTTGGTGAGGGAAACAAGGATGATATTATTTCTGAGGACGTTGATGGAGCATCTTCCTTGAACAAAAAAAATTCTCATGATGGAAAGACAAATTCTAAACATGCAAATCCTTTTAATGGACAATCAAACAGAAAATTACATCCCGAAACAAAGAAGAAATCTAGACGCCGCAAATTTTCAGGTGCTGGTCATTCTCTATGATAACTTTCTTTTTGGATCTCCCCTATTATCTGTTTCATATTAAACTTCTTTGGAAAGTTATTTGCATCTGTATTCAGTATCATTGTTTCTATGCTGCTTGGTCCCTCCTAGTTTCATTTTGTTTTCCCTTTAAAAGAAGCAGAACCTGGGGAATGGTGTATTTAGGTTTAGTTGGTTTGGGTTCTTATTATTTGGTTCAATGCTTACAAATCTTGTAACTTCCCTAGTTACTTCCTTTAAATGAATTTGTATTGTGCTTCCACTAATTTTCTTATAATTTCACCTGGCAAAGAGATAATAGAGAGATGGAGCTGCTGTTGTTGATTACCTGTTTCATAGTTTATGCCATTTGGTGAGCTACAAAGAATACTGGTCCTTTGATTATTTGTCTAACCTCCAGCTTATGATGCGTTAAATTAATATACTAATGGTCCTAGAATGTAGTGGTTCTGATCAGTTTGGTGATTTGTCCATCTGAACACTTGAGCCAAAAATTTTTGGCTGATTATCTGTAGAAAAGCAGTAAGTTTCAGGATTTGTTTTGAAATCTAAGGACAAAATGTCAGTCAGGAGACAATCATCTAGATATGGAAGTCAAAATGAAATCACAAGGAGAATATAAGTTTCACTTGTTGTATCTTACATCTGCTGTTATGTTTTGAGGGCAGGACGGCATGCTCATTATATTCTAAATAACAAATAAATTGGTCTAATCAAGATGTTTCTAACTTTTTTAGCATTAGATAGTATTTCAAAACTAAAATGTTTTTCTTATTTAGATAGATTTCCTGTTTAAACTGATTCCTTAGAAATCTGTATAAATGGGATTTATGTATTAGTTATTTCTCCATTTATCTTTCTGCCACCATTTTTTCACAGGGCTTAAATTTGACAAAAATTTATCACGATGTTCTTAATTTAATTTAAAAACAATTTTCGGACAAATTAGTATTGTTTACAACTAGCTCCAAGTTTATACAAATATATCTAATTGGTCTCATTTTAGCCTGTTTTATAGTGGGATTTAGATTTACTAAGCACTTGTAGAAGTGATCTTATTCTTGTATTTTACCCTATCACCATTTTTATCAGAACAATATAAAATGGAGAAAGGAAAGAAAAGAAGCTCTTTAACCTGCTTGACATGTCACCTATATTACAGGATCCTGTGAGATGAAATTGTTAAACTCAACCTCGCAACTTGTAGAACCACTAGAAAGCCGAAAATTTGCAAGATTTAACTTACAGTATGCAGAGAGAGAAGAGAAACCCCTGGGAGATGAACAATGGGTGCCCAGATTTGGAGGCCATCAGAGTATAGAAGAGAGAGAAAATTCATTTTTGGCACGTGATCAGAAAATAAACTGTGGATTTGTTAAAGGTCCTGAAGGGTCTCAAAGCACTGGATTTGACTTGACAGAAGATGATGCAAGTTACATCAGCAGATGCCACATTGCGGTGATTTCATGCATATTTGGAAATTCTGATCGCTTGAGGATCCCAGCCACTAAAACGGTAATGGATCTATTTTATCTTTTATTTCTGTTTGTGGGTTGGAGAGGTGTTTGGAGTATAACAATCACATTGTGTGATTTTTTCAGTAAAATATTACCCAAGTTCTTTTTAAGAAAAAAATGGCAATACTTTTTTCTCTGTCTCTGTAGGAATTGGATACCAATTGTTTGTGTTTTGACTTGGTTGTAAACATATGTTTGCGTGCTTGGCTTCACAGAGGGGGGGGGGGGGAAGAAGATACTTTCCTTCTCCCTCAATTTTATAAGTTGCCTAGGAAAAAGGGACAAAAGATTTTATGCACACTTGAGGGTAATATTTTAAGCATTAACAACTGATATAATCACTACTTACCTTTCTCAAAATTGAACTTGTTATTAACATTGAAGGTTTGGTATTGAAAGTGAGTTGTTGGAACTATTGAAATCTTATGGACAGATCTTCTTATCCAACCATTAATTATTGATTTAATTGCCACAAACCTTGTTTGTTGCATTGATCTACGTCATTGTGATTTCAGGTCACTCGATTATCAAGGAAGAATGTCTGCTTTGTTATGTTTACTGATGAAGTTACAATACGAACACTTACTGCTGAAGGTCATGTGCCAGATAGAATGGGTTTCATTGGCTTTTGGAAGTTAGTGGTAGTGAAGAATCTACCCTATGATGATATGAGGAGAGTGGGAAAAATACCTAAGTTATTGCCACATCGTCTTTTTCCTTTTGCAAGGTGAGATTGAATATGATAAGATGTTTGTGTATGTGTTATTCTTTTGATTTTGACAGTATTGATTTGGACGGAGTTTTAATCATGGCAACTGCTAAGTGACATTGATTATCAAGACAGATTTTGACAGATAACTTTGAGATAGAATGGTGAAAATTTGATTTAGATGGTTTTTACATTTGATTCTTTTATTATGTATTTTGGAAAGAGGAAGGCCAAACTAAGAGTGTGACTGTAGTGTAGAGTCTGTAGAGTGTAGACTATAGATGTTGCTGTCAGATTTTACAGTTTTACTACTGATAAAGAACCTTACAATTACACAAAATTTACTGCATGCTGAATCCTTGATGGAGTTGAATGATGAAGGAGATTTATGTGGAGTATTATTTCAATATTGATTAGTGATTTCTTGGCTTGAATATGCTTGGGATTAGGGCTTCATTATACTTGTGGACACTATTGTGTATTCATAAGTTGGAGGTGTTACTGCAACTTATGCCTTAAATTTTAGCCAGTAAGTTCCCCAATCTTTCTAGCCTAAATTGACTTAGCAAATGAATCATGGTGCGTTTCCTAATTTTAGAATCTTGGGTTTTAGTACAGTCAAGTCCTCATTTCAGCTGTATAGTACATCAGAGTTATAAACCCGTTTTTTATGTGATGTTCTGTAGATAGGCATCTGAAATCTTTAGACAGGTTTCTTATTGATTTTCTTTGTTATCAGTTGATAGTTGGGTTGTATGCTGTTTGTTTTGTATATAGTTCTCTTATTCTTGTATATCCAATGATGTTATGTCTTTGCTTTTCTTTGAAATTTTGTTTTCAGGTATTCAATTTGGTTGGATAGCAAATTAAGGCTGCAGCTTGATCCTTTACTTATCTTGGAGTACTTCTTGTGGCGAAAGGGTTATGAATTTGCAATATCCAATCACTATGACCGGCATTGCATGTGGGAAGAGGTAGCCCAAAACAAGAAATTGAACAAGTATAATCACACAGTTATAGATCAACAATTTGCATTTTACCGGGCTGATGGACTGGAAAGATTTAATGCTTCAGATCCGAATAAGCTTCTTCCAAGCAGTATGTTCTTTTGAGGATTTATTTTCTCAGTTCTCCAAAGTTGATGATTAAATGTACTGAGATGACTTACAAAATTTATTCCTTGCGTTGACAGATGTACCTGAAGGTTCTTTTATTATTAGAGCACACACCCCAATGTCAAATTTGTTTTCCTGTCTTTGGTTCAATGAAGTCGACCGGTTTACTCCTCGTGATCAGCTGAGTTTCGCATACACTTATCAGAAGCTGAGAAGGATGAATCCTGACAAACCTTTTCATCTTAATATGTTCAAGGTGAATAAGAAACTTAAGCACAGCTACATGTAGATAGTTTCTTTCCTGCTATAATAATCAATGCTGACAAACCTTTTTCTTATCATTTTTTGCCCAGGATTGCGAAAGGAGACACATAGCCAAGTTGTTCCGTCATAGGTTGGATGAGAAAAGGACTAATCATCAAAAAGCAACTGAATAAAGGGAATTTTAATTAACATTTTTATTGCTAGGGAGCTTGATATGATGTACTTGGCCAGTCTCTTGCATGTGTTGAAGTTGTGATCTGATCTATGCTGGCTCTCTGTTGCTGAGTGATGATTCAGCACAGTTGTTTCTCAAACAAGTGAAGTGTTCATCAAAGTATGATCTACAGTGCTGCTGTGTCATCCATGAAACACAATTTTGTGGTTATGTTTTATCATATCTCTTGTATCCATCATCCATTTGTGCCTTGGGAGACAGGCAAAGCATCAAATGACTCACTGACCATCAATCACTTCGACTACTCCGGCTCCTCCTCATTTTTCATTTCTAAATAGTAAATTGGGATTGTTTGTATGTAGAAATTTTTTTGATAGGTCATTCATACTCTTTAGAAATCTGACTCGTGATTCTTATTGATTTTATAACTTAAATATAAGCATGTATGAGTTGTTAAAATAAATGTGTACCTATTTCTTTTGTTCCCTTATTCAAACTCCTTTCTTCTCTAATCTTTCCGTCATCTCCTAATCTCTCCCCATGCTTTTGATCAGATAGTTCGCAGCTGTCTCGTCTTATATGTTCCATTCCATGTCATATTATTAACAAATTTATTATTTTTAGAATTTAATTTAAGTACACCGAACAATGACCATCATACTTTGCAAATAATTAACTTTTATAACAACTATTTTAAAAGTTAATTTTTTAATTGATTGATCATTTAAAATTTTTATTTTTATAGTATATATTAAAAGGTAAACTCAATTTTCCATATCTTGTAATATTACATGTAAAGGAACTAAAATCACATACCAAACCTGTAACAGAGAAACGCAATGAATGAAGGCAGTTTCACCATGGACTAAGTACTTGCCAACTTGTGAGAGAAGCCATAAACAATTTCAATGCAACCATTGTGAGTGGTATGAATGCAACTAGTAATTTCATAGGATGACATAAATGAACCATGTGGGGTTGCCTTAGCTATGATATCAAACAAGTTCAGTTCAATGGCTGTATTCAGAACCGCATGATACACTAGATTTGTACTAGGTAGTATTGCAGATAAATTATTTGTATGTAGGGATGGTAACAGATTTGATACTTGTTGAATACTCGCACAAAGAAACAATGTTTGATTAGAAAATTTTGTGCGTATTCTCTCAACTTCAGCAAATGGGCAATATTTGGAATCTAAAAATTGATGCAAACTGAACCACAAACACTGGTGGAGCTATATGTATGCATGCATGTGTGTATGTGATTAGAAGTTCTTGGACATATTCTCACAGGTTCTGCAAATAAATGTGCAAAACTGGGACCATATGAATCTGTTTATTTCATCAATGTATCTAATATCTCTCTCAAGATACATTTAAAAACATAATTTACTGATAGCAAAAAAAAAAAAAAAACATAATTTACTTAAGTATTTATTTTAATTTTTTATTATATAGAAATTTATATTATATATTTGACTATTAATTTTTTAAACAAGTTAAAAAGTATTTATTAATTATAAATCATATTAAAAATTTTATAACAATAAATTTAAATGAGTTTAATAATTATAAATTATTTTCATAATTTTTTCGTATACTATTTCTTATAGCCTCTTAGTATTTTTATTTATACGAGTATTAGCCTTTATGTTTGTTTTATTTTTACCTATTCCTTTCGTAATATTTGTCGACCATTTCTTTTATATTTTAAAAGACGTATAAGGACAATTTTGAAAGACTTCACGATGTGAGTTAAAATGTATTGTGTATTATAAAAAAGAGGTTGGAAAAAATTATTATAAATATTTTATGTAAATACACAATAAAAAATGTATTAGTACAATGAAATTTTTTTAAAAAGTTTGGATTTTACAGTTAAAATTGTAAGTTTTATTTTATCTTTTTAAGTATCAAAAGCATTTTTTAATGCATGTTTTTTCTTTCTTTGTAAAATAAGTACAGGTTTAAAATAACTACGGATACATTATACAATTCTCTATTGAGATAACTTTAAAATATACTTTCCTTTTATTTCTTAATTTAAAATTACACTATTTTTTTCTAAGAATTAAAATTTGCTACATTTTTTTTTCTTTTTTGCTTTAGTATTTGCACTCATATATTCCAATTTGCTATATTTAGTTCATTTTCACATTTTAAAAAAAAATTGAATATTATTTTACCAATTTTATGACTTAAAAAGGATGAACCAAAAATTTAAACGTTTTTATAATTGGATGTAATTAAAAATTTACTAAAATATTCATATTTTATTTTTAATTTAAAAATATTTTTAGTCTTTAATTTTTTGAAATTTTAATTTTTTCTCTCAATTTTTTCTTTCATCAGCTTTAATTTTAATTTTTTTAAACTTAATACTTTTAGCTATTATAATGTAATTAACTAAAACTTATAGTGTATTGAATTTTTGTTGGGTTACCTTATCAGTAGGGACAAAATACAAAAAATAGCCACTAAAATTAAAAGAAATTTTTAAGAACTAAAATTAAAATATCACAAAATTATAGTCAAAAAATATTTTTTCTTTCTTTTTTCTTAAAATGTTATAAAATAAAATTATAGAAAATAAAAAACACACAATTTTATGTCATGATTATAGCATATCTTAAGTTTCATGTGTAAGCAACGTTTTTGCTGTTCGATTATTATTCTGTTTCTTGTAAAATTATGTTGAGAGAAGTGAGGTTTTACAGTATAATGTGTTTACATTATATTTTTTTTATGAAGGTTTACGATAAATTATAGGTATGAGACCTATAAATTTTTTAAACGATTTTTCTTTCCTTAGACTTCACGATCAAAATTATTCTTTTTTTCACACACAAAGAAATATGAAAAAGAAGAAAGGAACCAGTTTATTTAATAGGGATAAACATTACATCATATAAAATTAAAGCACAAAATTCAACGAGAAAGTTGTAACTTTGACCTCACATAAAAGGTCCTTATTATGACTTTACCCTCGATAGCTTCATCTGAAAATTCTCTAAGTTATTTTATAAACTTATTATTTATAAAATTCCATTACTCCCAAACTAGAGAAGGCACGACAAGCAACTTGAAATTTTGAAAATCCAGAGAGCATGCACAAATTCTCATATTGTTTTTCAGTTCTTTCCCTTCCACCAACCGTTATGAACATGATGTTGTCAAGATTAGAAACAAGCTGAGATCCTTCACTTGGTTCTGGTTCTTCAGGCAAAATGAATTCCACAACAATTACCTTCCCATTCGATGGCAATGCTTTGTGACAATTGCTTAGAAATTCTACGCATTTTTCATCTGACCAATTGTGACATACAGCCTATGATAATTTCAAAAATACGAAAAGATAGTGGTTAGCACCTTAATCAGATTATTTGATGAACATATCAATTCTCAAGTAACCATTTAGCTGTACGTTATGTATACTAACCTTCAATATTATGGCGTCACCTCGTGGAACACTTGCAAACATATCTCCTCCAATGTGCTCAATCCCTTAAAATATTAGGTTTTTTTTGCGTGATTAATATTGTTTGACAAAGTTAAAAAACTGAGTAGAACTATGTTTTATATATCATTTGACATTTTGATTTGTGATAAAAACATATTATCAGGCTACCTGGAAGCGATGGTGCATTTTCAATCACTTGGGGCAGATCAAAATTAATACCCTTAATTAAAGGGTACTTGGAGATTATCATTTTGAGATTTTGTCCATTTCCACCTCCTACGTCAACCAATGTTGATATTCCCTCAAGTCCAGTATATATTTCAAGTATTCTTTTCATCTCTGTTGCACACACATCAGCCATTGACTTGTTAAAAATTTGGTTCATTTTTGGATCCTTTTCCATGTACTCGTACTTTGTTACTCCATGGACTTTGTTGAACAAGTCAATGTCTTCATCAACCACTGCTTCTTTGAAGTTCAACCTAGAAAACCATTGAAGCACCCTCGATTAGAAAATAAAATTATATATAGGCTTTAAATTTTTTTATATAGAAAGTAACGTTGTACTTTATAAAGTAATAGAATTATGTATATCTCAATTCATCATATATTTTTTTCAACGTATCCATTTTTTAGAGCATAAAGTTGAAAGAAGTAAAGAGAAAGAAAGTAAAAAATATGATAAATGACACGAGGCTTATAAAAGCTTGTCAACAATTTATGAAAATAGCTCATGACTTTGATAAACTTTCAATAAGTTACATCGTTAAAGTTATAATATAAGTCATTAAAAGTTATTAAATAAGTATTTGAATAAGCAAATTTTCAAATGCAATCATAATGGAATAAGAAAGAGAAAGGGAAAAAAAAAAGAGATGGAAAGAAGGTAAAAGTATTGTATAGATGTGTATATATTAATATAATTATTGATCTTTTAGAATAAAGTTAGTCAAACATCTCACTATTGTTGTATATCGATAGGAAGTAAAATCACTTACCAAACCTGTGACAGTGCTGGATAACATAGAAATGTTGTGAATGAAGCCAAGTAGCCCCTACTTTCACCGGGGACTAAGTATTTTCCAACTTGTGAGAGTCCATAAACTCTCTCAGTGCAACCATGCTCACTAGTGCGAGTGCAACTAACAAGAATGGAGTAACTGACAAGCAAACGCAACATGCGGTCAAGCCTATTTGGCAAGTCAGGGTGTTGTGTTGGAAGCTTAGAAGCAATTTCATGGGATGACATAAATGAATCATGTGTAGTTGCCTTAGCTATGATACCAAACAAGTTCAGCTCAATGGCTGCATTTAAGACAGCAGGGTACACTAGATTAGTACTAAGTAGCATTGCTGATAGACAAGCACCATCCTCCCTTTGTTGAGGGGAAGTTTCAAACATGTGATTCTTGGTGAAATTGGAATCACCCATATCCTAAACTTGCTTCTTTAATTTACTTCTAAAAACTGTTTTTTGGGGCTTGTAAATATGTGTTTGCTTGCTTATTAGTTGCTTTCGAGCTTGCCCTTTTTATAGGTAAATCGTATCTCTTAGTCGTTATGCTACTTTGATGAATGGTCATAATTGGGGGCTTCACCTACTTCTTACAATTTTTTCTTTCAGATATCGTTCGTTGAATTTTTGTGGGCGGTATCATACTATCGTAAGTAATCAACTGAAAGGGTACTCGGTTTTCTGTGATTAACACTTTTGAGTGATGGTATTCTTATAATAATTTTATATTTGTATAATGCTCAAGTCATGGCCTTTCCATACTTTAGATTGTTTAATTTAGTTATTTATTAATCACTTAGAAAAATGTCAATTATCCTTTTGTTAAAATAATTTAAATTTTATCTTTCCATGCACTGTTTTTCATTTCATTTAAAAATTAAAAGATAAAGTTGATTATATGTTTTTTAAATGACAAGTAAAGTGAAATAATAGTAAATGGAATATGATTAGAAATATACATAATGGAAAACAAATTGTGGTGATCATACTAAATTTGGATATGTGTGGAAGACTTGTAAAACAAAGAAGATAAACTAAATAGAGGGTAGCTCAATCTCTAAACAAAAGGTTGAATTGAGAAAAATGAAATGATTAAAAATAATTCATTTGCCAATAGTTGTCTGTAGACGAAGTTTATGACAAAACATTAGTGTTGTTTGATTTATGAAAATAAAAATATTCGATTGTTGTTATTGGTGTTGACTAATAAAAAACCAAATAGATATATTTAATTCAAATAAAGTTGGATATTGGAAGTAAGTAGGTACATCCCAAACAAACAGCAGTAATACGCAAGTTGATTTTTTGTTTTTGTCTTTGTTTTTAACTGTTTTTGGCTCGAAATTTTAGTGAGTTCCTATTCCAATGACTTCCCTTACGATTCCATGGGCGCTAACAGTATGTCCCAATTTCGTTGTACGACAGGTCAAAGAAGCAAAAGGACCCATTAAAAAAAATTACACTTGAACATTTTAAACTATTTTTTCAATGAATACAAAAGCAATTTATATATAATATTTTTATTAAAAATTACAGAATTTAATATATTAACAATATTAAACATTATAATTTTTAATAAAAACTTATTATTTTTTATTACATATACGTTAAAAATATATATTTTTAAAAATTATTTTAAAGTAATAATACCATAGTAAAGAAGACGAGTGTTATACAATTTGACTAAAAAATTATACTGTATTTCTTTGATTTAAAATTAAATAAAATTTATTTTAAGTCATCAAATATGTATACATTATATGAATCATATATTTTTATTCAAATGTGTATTTGTTTATCAAAATGTACAAGAATTATTTTTTCAACATTTGATGCTTTATTGATTTTGCCTTTTTTTATGCCTTCTGATATTTGAACAATGCAATCTTTTCTATTATTTTTCTTCAGCTTGCCCCTCTTTAATTTCTATGTACTAATTTTCTTTTGGTGGAAGGGGGTTTGAACAATTAAAACACCATCTCCTACGGAATAAACAGCCCTTAGAAGAAAGGTGTTGCTGCTTGATTTGTGATTTCTAATTCCCTTCATTATTCTATGGGTCACTGTTAAATATATCATTAAGTTTTCTTCAGTGAGTAGGTGATTAAATGAAATGACGGGTACAATACTTCCTCTAAATACCTCGTACATTAATCGTTACCGTTTAATGAAATGATACATAAAACAACTATTTTTTTATGAAATTTATGCTTGATGAAAAATCATATATAATAAAATTTTATTTAAAATTAGTATTTAACAATATGAATACATTTAATTACATTAACTTCCATATTTTAAAATAAAAATCTATTATATATAACTTTTTAAACGGTATAATATTTCAGAAGTTAAAAAAGTGGCTACTCTGTTCATAAAATAAGGGTAAGAAATTATATATATAAAGCGACAAGTTGAGTAGACACGGTTCACTTTCAATAAGCTAAATGGGCAGTAAATTGAAATGGGGACCATAAAAAGAAACTACAGAAATAGTCATAAAGCAGCTGTTATTAGAAACATGACGTGGTGACAATAGATTGCTGAGAAATAACGATGCCACCTAATATTTTGATCCTCAAGCATTTTTATTCTATCTTAAGGAACGACAATGTTAAAGGAAATTAACACTAATGAAGAGTAGCCCAGTTGGAATTCAACATTTTTAGCTGCTTCTTATTTGAATAACTGAAAGTAAACTTATTTGTAAAATTCGATGATTCCCAAGGTAAAGAATGCACGACAGGCAACTTGAAATCTTGAAAATCCAGAGAGTTTGCACAAAGACTCATATTCCTTGTTACTTCTTTCCTTTCCACCATTTGTGATATACATGATGTTGTCGAGGGTGAAAATAAGCTTTGATTCATTTGACTCTGATACTTCTGATGGTAAAAACTCTATAACAATCACCTTTCCACCTTGTGGCAGTGCATTGTAACAGTTCCTCAAAACAGTCAAGCATTGTTCATGTGACCAGTTGTGCAATACACCCTACATATAATGTAGTTGAAGAAATTAAGATTTTTGGCAACATTATTGATCAATCAATCTCATGTGAAATTGAAGTGTTACAAAGTGTTTTCTAACCTTTAGAATTATGGCATCACCCTGTGGGACATGCTTAAACATATCTCCTCCAACATTTTCTATCCCTATTCATGCAATTTTCGACAGTGTCACAAATCAATGATTTAGCAAAATAAGAACTCTAATTTTAATGCATCATCAAATTGACAGACATATAACCATAAGTTTGACTGGCACGTATGTATATCTATCTACCTGGATAAGCTGGCGCTTTTTCAATAACTTGGGGCAAATCAAAATTAATACCCTTAATTGTAGGGTACTTTGCGACTATTAATTGGAGATTTTTTCCTGTATTTCCTCCCACATCAACCAGGGTTGAAACTCCTTCATATCCTTTATACACTTCAAGGATCCTATTCGTCTCTATGGTGCTGGTATTAACCATTGCACCGATGAAAGCATTATTCAATTTTGGATCCTTTTCAGTGTATTTGAACAAAGGCATTCCATGAACCTTTTGAAATAGGTCGTTCTCAGAATCAAGGATTGCATCCTTCAAATTCGGCCTAAAATCAAAGCACCACCACAAGGTAAATTAAATAAACTCTTCCATAAAACAACTTTAATGGCTGTGGCTTAATTAAACAACTTTTATTAACAACGAACATTGTAGCATTATATGAGATGTCATAGACCAAAAAAATATAAGCAGCAGTTGGACAATAACGATGCATGTATACAAAACAAAATAATAGCTTCACACCCAAATTTTGCGCTCACAATGTGGGTATGATCGAGGAGAGTGAAGTAGAGAGAGTGTGAAAGTGTAACAAATACTTTAAAAAATTGTAGAAGGCAGTCTTTGATAAGAAATGTCAGAATCACACTTCTAAAAAGCGACCTTTCAACTATAATTATTGGAATTTATATAGATCTCACTAGGAAAACAATTAAACAAGCTGCAGTATTTATTATATTTTATTAGAATTTTAAATAGCAACAAAGAGTAGGCTGTACCAAAGTTGTGACATTGCAGGATAGTTGAGAAATTTTGTAATGGCACCGGCACAACCCCTTTTTTCATCACTGACAAAGTACTTTCCAACAGCTGAGATTCCAAAGAATCTCTCAATGCTACCATCTTGATTGGTGTGAGGAGAACAAGTGAGAAGAGAATAGCTTGCAAGGAGACGCAGCATGCGCTCAAGTCTATTAGGCAAACCTGGGTATTGGTTTGGCAACTTAGAAGCAATTTGGGATGCTGACACAGTTCCGCCATGGGGTGTTGCATTTGCTATTATGTCAAACAAATTCAACTCAATAGATGCATTGAGTACTGAAGGAAACACTTGACTTGTGCAGAGTAACATAGCATAAAGACATGCCTCATCCTCTCTTCCCTCGTTCGGACTTGCAGGATTCGAACTCATATTTGCTTTTTCCCTCTCTCTACTCTCTGTTTATTTTGTTGTTGTTCTCTTCAATGCCTTTTGCATTTTCGAGTAGTGCATATGCTTTTTTATAGCCAAACATGGATCTAAGATCTATACGATATTATGACCACAAACATTTTGTTAGTTCGAGAAGTTAAATATTTTAATCACAAACATCCGACAACCAAGAACTTTTCATACCTGCTCTCTTTATTTATTTATTTATTTATTTATTATGTGTAATTTTAAATAATATTTTAAACACTTTTTAAGTTCAAGTATTTAAAATTTTTATTTAAATTTCTCTAAACTCATAATCATTGCATTTACTTGATTATTTAGGAAGAAGAATGAAAATTGAAGTATTTTGATCCCTTTTTTAATATATTTTGTAGGTTGAATCAAAGGAAAAAATTTTCACAAGTTGAAGAAATTTGGAAGAATCAAGGAGAAACATGAAGTTTGGAAGCAATAGTTAATTCTGATTGTTTCAATAAGGATTCACTTAAGAAGAAATGAGGTTTTGTGCTCTTCTTGTTATAGCAATAACAAAATGTCCTATTTTTGGCACTCAACTTTCACTGTAACGAGAGTAATGACATTTCTTTATAACAAAGAAACTTCTCTTACTATAGTGAGAATTTTTTTTTCCAGATTCATATATAAGGTAGTTCCCACGCTTTTGAAGTTAGTGAATCAATTTTTAGAAAGGTTTAGAGGGAGAAAGACATTGGAGAACAAATGAGAAGAGTGGGAATGCTCGAATTCAAATTCAAAAGATTGTCTTTACTTTCTTTCTTGATATAATGGTTGAAATGAGTGATTAAAACTTTTGTGGGAATAAATGTAAATCTTCAAATTTGATGTATTCTCTATTATTCATAATATATATGTGTGTGTGTTCTTTTTCATTTCTATTGATTCGATAATTTTAATTTATATGTATTGCTTGAATCTATTTCATCAATAGCTTCTCGTTCTTAGAATCTAAGTTATGTCTTAAAAGTATTCCCTATATTTAAATTCGATTAAAATTACTTAGTAACTTGTTATTTTAGAAATATATTTCAAATTACCGATTACTTTTTAACCTTGATCTTAATGTTAAATAGTTTGTTAATTGTTTGAGAAATCAATCTATAAAAAATTATCTTAGAAGTATGTTTTCAAGAAATTGAAATATATGATTTTAGTGTATTAGCATCAATATCAATAGAATCAATTGTTATACATATCACTGAATCACAAAAATACAGAGAGAACGATAGATGAAATTTAATCATAGTTTCTTTAACTTGATTTTAATTACATTTTCAATCATTTTCTTAAATTATAGTTTTTACACAATTTTCATGAAACTCATTTGATTGCTTTTTAACCTTGATCTTAATGCTAAATAGTTTGTTAATTGTTTGAAGAATTAATCTTTAAGAAATTATCTTAGAAGTATGTTTTCAAAGAATTGAAATATATAATTTTAGTGTATTAGCATCAATATCAATATAATCTTTTGCTATACATGTCACTAAATCACAAGAATAAAAAAAGGACAATAGATGGAATTCAATCTTAGTTTCTCTAACTTGATTTTAATTACACTTTTAATCATTTTCTTAAATTATAGTTTTTACACATTTTCCATAAAAATCATTCGATTTCTTTTTGACCTTGATCTTAATGCTAGATAGTTTATTAATGAGAAATCAATCTTTAAGAAATTATCTTAAAAGTATGTTTTTAAGGAATTGAAATATATGATTTTAGTATGCTAGCATCAATTTCAATAGAATATATTGCTATACATGTCACTGAATCACAAGAATATAGAGATCTAACTTGATTTTAATCACACTTTCAATCATTTTTTAAATTATAGTTTTTACATATTTTCCAAGAAACTCATTAATCAACTTCTTTGTATATATATTCAATTAATCTATACTTTAATAATTAGCACAACAATATCCCAGTATTCACCGAGTTGATTCAATTATGATGCGTAAAAATCACTTATATTACGTCTTTGTCTTTTCTCATCTTCTACCTACAATAAGTATCAATATGTCATTTTAGAAAAATAAATGTCAAATTTAACATATACATTTAAAAGCATATAACTCTATCTATAATCAATCTCATATCCGATTCGAAATCTAAACGCAAGAAAAGAAGAGAATTGTGTTAAACTTTCCAAAAATAAAAGTATATATTAAAATTTTTTAAAATTATTAAAAGATTTAAATTACTATTTAAAATATCTTAAAAATAATATTCTTTTATCGTATTGCTATATTCTTTGTATAAATTAAGAAATAATTATATAATATGTCTTATATAAATATTTAAATTAAGTATTAAAAATGAACTTAGTTTAAGTGAATATGTAAAAATAAAAAAAAAATGCAAAAAATAATTTTTACATGTTTCTCATGAGAGGAAGGAAAGACAGGTCTAAGTGTGGGGGGAAGGTAGAGATAACAATGGAAAGAGCAAGTGATATAAGGATGAAGGTGGAGGAAAGAGAATGGAGGAGTTGGATATAAGGAGAAGATGAAAGAGGTGAATATAGGAAAAGAGAGTTAGGTGTAAGGAGAAGAGTAAAGGTAGGGGAAAAGATAGGGAATCACATAAATTTTTTTTAAGCTTAATAATATTTTTGATCTCTATAAATATTAAAATTTTTGTGATAAGTCCTTATAAATTTTTTTGGTTATAATTTAATTTTTAAAAAGTTAAGAAGTTAAAATTTAATCTATATCATTAACTCTTTTCTGTTAAGTGTTGAGCTGACTGACAGAAAATCAGCACTCCCACGTGACATATCATATTATTTAATTTAATAATATTTTAGTATTTAAAATTAATATTCACAATATATCTCTGGTTATATTTTTTATATTTATAGAAATATTTATCTTCTCCTTTCCCTTCCTTGCTATTCATCCCTATCCTTCTCGGTGGCTTACCTCACACCTTAGCTCCCTTTCTCTTTCCTTTTTTCCATTTTTGCTACTCCACCCTGTCCTCTCCCCTTCCTGCTACCCACTCACACTTCAACTTTATACCTACCCCATGCCTTCCCTTACCCCTTATTCAAAATCTTATATAACTATTTTCTTCTTTTTGGCTACCATGAAAAAAGAGGTTCAGGAACAACAAATAATAGACAAATATTGTAGGGTCATTGCAAGTTAATGAAACTCTTAAATCCAAAAAAATCCAAAAAATGAAGAAAGAAAGAGTGTGGGATATAGAGTGAGGGTGTGTGGTGGGGTTAGAAAGGAGGGAAGTGAAAAACAACATGAAGGAAGAGTGTGGGATTAGGCTGTGTAAGAATGTGGAATTGAAAGTGGGAGAAAGGGTAGAGTTGAGGAAGGGAAAGGGGAGAGGGAGGGGTTAGAGTGTGAAAAGGGAGGAAGTGGAGAACTAAGTGAGGAGAGTGTGAGATTAAGAGTGTAGAAGAATGTGGAGTTAAAGGTGAGGGGAAGGGGTAGGGGTGTGAGAAGGAGGAAAGTGGAGAACAGGGTGAGAAGAGTGTGAAATTGAGAATGTGAGAAAATATGAAGTTAAAGGTGGGAGAAAATTGAGGAAGGAGAAGGAAAGTGTTAGGGTGTGAGAAAGGGAGGAGTAGAGATCATAGTGAAAGAAAGTGTAGACTTAAAGGTGAGAGAAAAAGTGATGTTAAGAAAAGAAAAAGGGGAGAGAAAGAGAGAGTTAGGGTTAAGGTGCTTAAAAGACAAGTAAATGGATATGGAATAAAGGTGTGAAGAGAAAAGGAAGGGAAGAAGTTGAGGGTGTAAGTATGAGGTGAAGAAAGGAGAAAAGTGGAGGTGAGAGTAAGATTGAGATTAGAGTTGTGGGTGTAAAAAAAAAAGGAGTGAAGATAAAAGGAAAGAAAAAGGTTAGGATGGAGTAGGTAAAAAAGAGAAGGGAAAAAAAGGACTAAGAGAAAAAAAAATACGAATAGAGAACGAGACTTATTAATAAATGTAAAAAATATAATTAAACATTTATTTAAAATAATAAAATATTATTAAACTAAACAACATGAAAATATTGAATTTATTTTCTTGTTAACGTATGAATATAAATGAAAGAAATAATATTTTATAAAAAACTTTTTTTTTCAAAAAATTATTACATGCCTCAATTTATTTAATAATTGGATTGTTGGAGTTATTGTATAATAAACATTATTGCATGAGGAGTATGGACTAACAAGACATGAGGAGTCTTATTAAAATTGTGATCTAAAGAAAAATGATTAAACTAATATTTTAGTTCCTAAGAGATTTTGAGTTTAGCATTTTAGTCTCTGAGACATTTAAAATATCACATTAATCCGCAACTTCTTTCTCCTTCATGCATTTTAGTCCCTGACGTTAGACTCCGTTAAAAATCGTCACAGAAGGCTGAGCTGTCACGTTAAGTGCTATGTCAGAATTCTAGTTGGCAACAACGACATCGTTTTGGAAGATTGGGGTGACACAAAAAAAATCTTTTTTTTTTCAATAAGTCTCAACGTCCTCGTTGAGAGTCACTTTGCGAGACGTCCAGTAGTCTCTGACTTGGTCTTAGAATCGTAAGTTTCAACCCGTTCCTAACTTGCCTCGCTCTCAGGTTGGCCCTTCTACTTGACTAAGTAGTATTCTACTCGTGCAGTGGGTGTATGGGCTAGCCCATGGTGCGGTCAGCTATGATATATATACTCTTTTTCTTTCTTAGTAAGTTAATCTACAACATCTGGTGGTGCCCTCGTGGGCTGGGCAATCAACCGGAGAACCAAGGAATGGAACTGAAAGCATAGGCTTCAGCCGAAGCTGCAACCAAAGATGAGTGGCTGTTGCCCGGACACCGAACTATTGGCTTTAGCGACCCAATGTCTGTAGATGAAAGACGAGTTCGGAAGTACTGGATAGGTGCCTCCCCCACGAAATGTAGCTTATGCGGAACCTATTACTCCTCAACCACCAACTAGCAGCTCTTGATAGAGAAGC